AATATAACATTCTGCTTCAATTTAGTTCAGCAGAAACCATTTGACACTTAAAAGTTAATTAATAATACAAAGATCTATGGCCTTTTATTGTGGCGGAACAGCGGAAAAGAAGTAAATTAGTATACATCGAATGGCGTATATGAAGAATTTTTATCTTTGACAAATGTGAACAAAACATTAAGATCTCTTGATTTTGATTCATTTGGAATTATAATAGTCGAAACCATGTTCATATACCAAGAAAAGGTATGATAAATCTTGTCACCGGGTTCAGACCCAAAAAATGCAGAACGTAATAAATTTGCTCGCACATATCACATACAAAGGGTTGAAAATTCACAAGTCCATTAATGTCAACATGATTCCACCAAGTAATAAACAACAAGAATAAGAGTAAAAGAAGAGTGCTCTGACGAACGATCAAGTTGAACAAAAGATGTCAGCTCATACCAGTGGCTGTGTTAAAAACTACAGAAATGTTTCAACAACAAAATGGTTGCGAACCTTTCCCATCAGCACCACTGAGTCATAGTCGAGTGTTTTGAGTATTTTGACTCTAGCACCGTTATTCACTATAGTAAATTTGAATATTCAATTATGAATATATATTTTTTAATGAGAGGGGCAAGGGTATATTAAATAATTGGTTAAATTTGATTGAAAAATTGTTGTTTCTAAAATGAATATAATTTTTTAAACTATTTTTCTGATGATGAGGACAGTGATTGATTAATAAAATTCTTTAATACCTTTTAAAGCATTCATTTGAAAGAGCAGTAGTTAGATATGAATGGGTTTAAAAGTAATACTGCATTGCACTATATTGTTGTTTCATAATTAAGACATTAAACTATAATCAATTGTATATATCAGTTAAATAGAAACCTACATTTTCTGTGTAAATCGTACAATCAATGATATATAAGGAATAATTATTCTTGATAATTTTTCGAACAGACTTTCTGATGTGAAAATTGCGACGAAAGATCAAAGTTGTTTTTATTTTCTGAGATTAATGTGGCTTAATTCTGTGAACTCTTATGAGTGTGGGGTGTGGGTGCGGATGTGGACATGAGTGTGGGGATGTGTGAATAGAAGACCCACACCCACACCCAGGTTTCGTTGATATTCACATTAAAAGTCGTGATCAAGAGGCTGATGTCGTTGCGAATGGTGATGGAATTATGGTGATAAATGCGTTCAAGCCAAAGATTAATGCCTGAAACGCACACAATTTTCTCGTATTAATCATTATTCTTAATTCTATTGAAGAAAAAAGTGATGATTATTTTGAGTATGTGTCTCTATAGTAATAAGATTGTTACTAGCAAAACCAGACCTTTAATTCGAAGGATCATAATAAAAAAACTTTATCAAGACATAAAAAAAGAAACTTCGTATTTTTCTTTTGTAATCGATTTTTTTCATTATTTTTTCTTTAGCATTGTCTAACTGCTTGAGGCTTAAATGGACACCTAATAGATGAAGCAGTTCAACTGTTTGAGTTTCATTTCTCTAGGAAAAAAAATACTATTGAAATTGTTTACATACCAATTACTCAAATAAAGGAAACACATATTCAGGATGACCAGATGTGAAATTTCAAAAATTGGAAAAAAAATTAAAAAAGCGGAGAATTCTTAGAAAAAATTTTCAAAAAATCAGAATATTTATTTCAAGTGGAATATTGACATAAATGAATATTCTAATACAAGATCTATTTTTCGAATTCGATGTGTTTATTGTTACCTACTAAACAAGATCAGTAATCGTATTCACAATCACAACTATATCGAAATGTTCAAAAAAAACCTATTGCTCGATTCAATTCTTATCTACACATTTCTCTTTACGCTCTTATGACTGATAAGTGTGTATTTTTTCTGATCAGCAATGTCTGAAAGATATCATCTATAGAAATGGCTTCACGAATAATCATAATGCACTGATATTTTAATTCTAAAACTAAAAAGTTCAAATCAATAGATTCCTGTATTCAGTCCATTATGGAGTTGAAAGATCCGACAAAATAATTTCGCTGGGTTTCTGTCTTTGGTTTTTTTCTCGTTGTTTTTCAGTAATTGAAAATCAATTTTTTATCGACTTTGTTTGCTTCAAACTGCCAAAATTGATTATCGTTGAAACAGGAGTAAAAACGCACTAGAACATAGCCAGAATTAATACTAGGCTCTTCAAAAATAGTGAGGCAACAAGGTCGAGAAGGATAGAAAAAATGTGTTACACAGTTTGCCATAAAAAAATCGATAATTTCTAATAATACGACGACTATTACACCCAATAGAAAGTTTTGTAGAACAAATTACGCTCTATCGAATGATACAAAACAATAGTACTTTCCATAAAGTTCAGTAATGGCTTATTGTGAAAAACTAAAACTTATTTCTCACCGATCGTCAACAAGTGAAAAGCTGATCCTTCAAAGCACCACAAGACTTTGCTAACAAAGACGAATATGTTACGTCTAGGGCTATCGTTTTTTGCTCTTTTGAACAGAACAGCATCAATAGCAAATTTGGAGGTCTGGGTGTGGGCGTATAGGTATTACTGATGTCCAAACCTATGCTCACCCAATATATTCGTTCATACTTTTCGTGTATTGTTTCATTGATAAAATGTGAATATCCTTTTTGTATACAAAAATAAGATCTGTAATTTGTTGTTGAAAATACGATGAAATGACGATTAGACTAAATGAAATAAAAACAAACAATTAGATATTGTGTAGTGTCTATAACGTTTCTATTGAAATCTAAGTTTAGATAAGTACAGGAGATTTTTATCTGTAAAATAATGTGCAAAGATTTTGTCATTGAAATTGAAGAGTTTAAGTTTAGTTAGATTAAGATAATCGACAGCAAGAAGAATACATTCCATAAATTCTTATTCAAGAATAAGACATTTAATGTTAAGATCAATTCTTGGCAATAGATTTATGCAGAATTGATCAATTATGGAATATATCATATGAAGCCGTTGATTATCAACATATAATAATCAATACAGAACATCCATATTGTCAAGTTTATTTAAAATGATAAATAATATTTCATTAGGTAGACCAAGAAAGCTAACATTTGACTGGTTCATATTTATTTTGACTAATGGTTCACTTACAAATGCATAGAACACATATATATAAATATGTTCATTGTTTTTTTTTGTACACATTGTCATCATTGAATAAAAGCAATAGATGGTTTCACCAGAAAAAAATATAGTGTCCATATACATAATGCAATGAATTCGTCGATGAACATTGACTATTTTTTTTCGCAGTACGTTACATGTGCGTGTAGTTTGAGTATACTCTCGACCTTACTTATACTCTAATTTATGTGTTCAATACGTTAATTAAATGTGATGATTTGATTAAACTGCATATGAACCCAGTTTTTTTTTCCTTTTCATTAAACTGTTCTCAAGTTTCATTTGACAATTTCTTCAAAATAATCATTGAAGAGTAATATATACTTAATAAATATAAATTAAATTTTTTTATCCAAAGATCATTCTATTCTTAGCATCATCTTCATGTATTCGATTACTAATATATCTGTTTATATTCGTGCGATTACTGCAATATTATGTTCTTTTTCTATCTAAATTATCTAATAAGTTTATTCCTATTAGTCAATAAAAGTTTCTGTCTACAGAAAAAGAACACTGAAAAAAAAGAACTAAGTTTGCCATTACAAATGAAAAACATAATAATAAAAAAACGCGATCCTATCATTTTAAGTAATTAGTAGACGTTCAAGAAGTTCGTTTTCGAATCAATTATTTTTCTAATTTACCAGTGCGATTCATCTTTCGTCTCATATTTCTCTGAGTTAAGAGCCCCTTACAAAATCCAATTTTTCGGAAAAAAAGCTCGAAATTGAGTTTTTACCGTAGGAAGATGCAGCGGATTTGTCTCTTTCAAAATTTGTATAGCTTCGGAGGGTGTGAGTATGGGTGTTAATGAGACCAAGATGGTCATCATACCCAAACCCACGCCCACACCACACCCACCCTCGACCATTTAAAACAAAAGTCGATCATTGAAATCCATTTCATATCCATCTCAATCATGTTTTATGTATAGATCATATATGCTTTATATCTTTATTAATTAATAAATCCGTTGTTGATTTCGCCATTATTATAATAAATTACTCACCATCAGAACGAAGTAAACAAAAACCAATATATGGAGGAAACTTTTTTGTCTGAATGTGTCAATGAGATTTGTTGTTGTGTATGTCACACCATTTTCTTTCTTTATCAAATGATTTATTTTGTTTATCTTTGCAACAAGGCTGCTTTATTTATTTATTTCTTACTGTTCGTTATTGTACGTAGTTTTTTTTTCTTTCTTTGCCGACGAATTATGATCCTCAAACCAGTGAAAAATGGTCATCGATTTTCACCGTTTACTAGAGGAAGAAAACCGTTGTTTTTCATAATTATAATCAGAGCTTTCAACAAATCAGCTTTGTCAAATATTCTTAATTGTATTATTTCGGATGATAGTATGAGTTCAAATAGAAAGAAGACGTGCGCTTAAGTTTTCTCGTGCTTATCGCTCTATTTCTCAAATAACTAAGTCTCAAAAGTGTTAAATCATAGTTAATGAAAAAATTTAAAATTGTTTTTTTTGCACGATATACAACTTTCTTTTATTAATTTTAAATGAATTGATCAACACTACAAATGGGTAATATAAGGCTTCCGGACTTCCTTGAAATTTTTTTAAAATGTAATCATTATTTTAGTGATAATTCGACTTTTAATTTTAGTTACCCTTAAAGACTCTACATCCATGTACAAAAAGAAGTCTATACTGAAGTGTACTAATACAAATATAAAACTCATTCTCGTGTTCTGTAGTGTCCTCTATTGTAAACTATTAATATTGCATTCTGTGATTCATGTATTTAAATATCCAACTATAATAATATCAATAGACTTATTTCAGAAAAGGATAGAAAGAAAGAAATATGTCAAATGAAGATGATGATAATGAAGATGAAGATTTTGCCATTCGACATGCATATGAAAAATATGGTGTTAATGGTTATTATAGTCAATATGGTTCAGACTATCGAAATCCACATGAAGCACGTTTAATAACAATTGTTCGTCAACTTGTAGAAAAATGGAATTTAAAACCAACAGAACATATTCTTGATTTAGCTTGTGGTAGTGGAGAAATAACATTAATTCTTCGTCAAATAGGTTTTCAATATATAAATGGTATCGATCCATATACAAGTGAAGCATATGAAAAACGTACAGGCAATGTAATTCATGCTAAATGGACATTTGAACAAATAGCTGATGGTTGTCTAGAAAGTGAAGGAGAAACTTATGATGTTATTATTTGTAGTTTTGCTGCACATCTTATACAACCATCATATTTACCACTTGTTATGATACAATTACGTTTTGTAGCCAAAAAACTTATTATATTGACACCACATAAACGACCTCAAATATCACCTGAATGGGGTTGGATTTTAAAAGATGAATTTGTACATGAACGTATTCGTGCTAGACTTTATACATCTGATGAATAAAAAAAACAGAGAACTTATTTTGAATACGAGAAAATTTCACTCCTACATATATTGTCATATGAAACAATAGAATAATCGATATTGTGCTACACAGAATTTTGTTTATAAAATAGTATCGAATATTCAACACATGAATGATGAGTCTTTGATTATTATATAAGTAAACTTGAATAATCTTTATTTTAATAGAATCAGTTCTTATTCTAAAAGAAATCGTGTGATATTGAAATAAAATTCATTGTAGCCAAATTGAAGTTTCTTTTTTTAAATAAAATATCCATCATTACTAATATCTGATAACTTAATCCTTATATAGTTAGTAATTAAACAGACATTTTATGAAAGAATGAAAGATTTTGTTTTGACTTCTCCATTTACCGTAAAAACTTTGATCACAAAATAAAGACAGTTTTCAGCGACTTTGAAAATAAACGCTTCTTTCAGATGAGGAAAGAAGAGTGAACTAGCTAATTGTATGTATATATATATATATATTCTAAAAGTAGAAATTTTGCTTTATTCACTCATAAATTCATACGGGTTTCTACTCATTTATACAGCAAATTTCACGAGTTTAACCATGTTTGAATTTTTAGTCTGATCAATTATCCTTATATGAACATATTTCATGTGAAAATTATCATTTATAAACAGCTCTATTTTTTTTATCACTATGATAAATCATTTTTTTAAAAATAATAAAAAATAGAATATTTTCAAAGACGTTGGACCATTTTGATTTCTTTGTATGTGTGAAATTATACCAATTTCTATTATCTATTTGTGCAAATCGTCTATATATTATTTTGCTCAAAGTTTGAATTCGAATTTGATCTATTTGCCACGTGGCATAACAATCGTTATATGTTTTCATCTTGTGCATCTAAAATTTGTGAGATCGTAGAAATCGTCAAGATGTTTTTTTTACGATTATTATTGTTTTACAAAGAAACTGGTTATCAGTGGAGTACAAAAAAAAGGGATTGGTATATCCTTCATACTTCTATATTAGATAAAGATGTTATTGCTAATTTATTTGACGATCAGCTTTTCTTAGAACTATTGCAATTATTAGATTTTTGTCTCGGCATGAATAAACATTGGAATTTATGAAAATTATATAATCAAAAAGAGGTGAAAAAAGCATAGAACTGATTGACATATAACGACCTGCTTGTTTTCTCCATTGATATTAAAACACTTTTATATTTATCGTGACGATGTAGAAATCTTTGTGTTTCTCTCTCTCTGCATCTGTTGATTTTATTTAAATTAGACCTTGGATTGTTCACTTAATTTTATATATCATATAGTAATCAATGTTTTTCAACCAATGACGTCATTTGCTGACTTTTCTTGCAATACATCATAGGAGAATTCGACAACATATCCAGCGTAATACTTTTTTATCTGACAAGCGAATGTAAATACGCATAAATTTTGAGATGTAGAGATTGAAATAAAATAAAGCGCTTTATCACCGTTTTGTTGTCTGTTATTAGTTGTCATTGCTTGAGAATGATTCGGTATAGTGAGTATAATAATTTTGCTATTGTCATATCGGGTTACATGAATTTCGGCCCAAGAATTTTTCATCCCAAACTTTTCGGCCCGGTCCAAAATTCCGGTGATTTTTCGGTCCAGACCGAAAGTCCGATAGGAATCTTGGTCCAGTTCTTAAATAAATTTAATTAATTAATTATTAATTAGTAAACTTCATAGTGCTGAGCACCATGACTTTTCAAAAAATCATTCTGCTGAGCAGTATGAATATTAAATAAATTATCTTGCTAACCAGTACGAATATTTAGTAAATCGTCTTGCTAAGCAGTATGGCACAGTGCTGAGCAGAATGATTTTTTGAAAAGTCATGGTGCTCAGCACTATGAAGTTTACTAATTAATAATTAATTAATTAAATTAAATTAAGAATTGGACCGAGATTTCTTTCGGATTTTCGGTCCGGACCGAAAAATCACCGGAATTTTGGATCCGGCCGAAAGTTTGGGACGAAAAATTCTTGGGCCGAAATTCCGGACTCCCGTCATATCGTCATTCATACGAAACATTTCAAGTTTGCAAAAGATTATTTTAATGATTCAATCTGTCGATGTACATGTTGAAGTGAATATTTTTTAGTGTATTTTCTCTTCAGTTCTATGTTGTTTTGTTCTATATTCTTTGTATTAACTTTCTCATGTGTTTTTGATGAATCAGGAATGTAATAATTTATTTTTTATATGATAGTGTCATTTTTTTTCTTTCACTAACAATAGTAATAAATTCTTTTCTTGTAGACTTTTCATCACGCAAATACGTACGTACGAAAAAATTGAATGTTATCAGTAATGTCAATCTTTCGTCTTCCTGTATCATAAGTTACAATGATTATATGTCTATGAAAAATTAAATTTATCCCATTTTACTTTTAGACTAATATAAATATTACATCAGAGAAAAAAGTGTAGTCTCATCAGTCTCTTTAGGCTCTTTCGGTGTCTTTAGCTTTGTGTTCTGTATCGTTGCTCTTCCAAAGATACGGGAATCGAGGTGAAAGAACAGAAAAGGCAGATTAATGTATATTATACTCAGAAGAATTATTTATTGTTTTATTCACTCTCAAGGATTTTTGTTGACAACTTAAAACAATGGAATTTATTGTCATATTATCATTTTGTTGAAAGTCGATTCAATGATATACTATTTACTGCTCTTTGTTCTTCTGTCTTTCAAGAAATTGACTTTATATTGTCACAATACTCCGTATTTGGATGCGAGTATGCTCGTGATCTCATCCCGATACCCTAAAAATAACAGTATTGGAACAATTTAAAACCAACTCCTAGAAAGGAAAAAGAACAAAAATCAGTAAAGATTTAGAAGTGAGTAAAAAAACATAAAATTATTCTGTTCTCTCTGTTTCTTCAACTCGATCACCACAGTTTTAGAAGAGCAAATATACTGGGGAGGAGACTAAAAGAATAAAAGGGATCTAAAGGGACTAAAAGGACGTCAAATATTAAAGAGATTTAAGAGACTAGAGGGATCTAAGATGACTAAAGAAATAGCTTGGAGTGTCTAAAGTAAAACAGTATGAATTTTATTTTTTGTGGACTCCTGATGCATATGGAAGTAATGTCAAATGTTTTGTGGTCACTATAAACAGATAAGAGTTTGTAAATCTTCTTGAAAGTGAACTTAAGTATGACTAGATTATACGAGAAATTTGAAGAGATTTGCAGATGATAATTTTCATGAAATTTCACGATGATTTTTTCATGGGATACCATTATTTATTGTACTGCTGAATAGTGTACACTTAACTTCATATGAAAGTCACGAAGATATTCTATTGACAACCTTCTTATATAATTTACACTAATCGACGATCTTGTCCTATTCTTTCCAGGTTCTTGTTTTTCTTTACTTTCAGATAAGATTCCTGTATTCAGGCAAGATTCTTTTCGACAGGAAAGTAAAAA